CATTTCACGAAAGCATTTGCTTTCTCTGTCTGGCTTACTCCCCTCAGCACAATACCATCTAGGACTATTCATGTTGTTGCAGATGGCAAGATTTCTTTCCTTTTTTATGGCTGATTAATATTCCATTGTTTATATGTACCACTTCTTCATCCATTCATCCATTGGTGGGCACCCAGGTTGCTTTCTTATGTTGGCTATTATAAATAATGCAGTAATCAACATATGGAAGTAGCGTTTTGGGTATCTTTGGATAAATACTCAGAAGTGGGATTACTAGGTTCTTCTATTTTCTTGTTAGAGCCTTTGTTTTAGAGTCTATTTTGTCTGGTATTACTATTGCTACCCCAATTTTATTTGCTACTTTCCGTTTTTCATGAAGTACCTTTTCCATGCCTTTACTTTCATTTCGTGTGTTTCTTTTGATCTGAAGTGAGTTTTTTGTAGGTAGGGCGTCGTATGTAAGGGTTTTGTTTTCTTATTCTTACAGCCACACTATGTCTTTTGATTGGAGTATGTAACCCATTTATATTTAAAGTAATGGTTGATATGTAGTTATTGCCATTTTATTATTCATATTTTCAATCTTTTTTTTCTTCTTAAACAAGTCCCTTTATCATTCCTTATAATACTGGTTTGGTGGTAATGAACTCCTTTAGCTTTTGCTTGTCTAGGAAGCTCTTTATCTCTCTTTCAACTCTAGATGATAGCCTTGCTGGGTAGACTAATCTTGGTAGTAGGCCCTTACTTTTCATCATTGTGAATCTTTCGTGCCAAGCCCTTCTGGCCTGCCAAGTTTGTGTTGAGAAATCAGCTGACAGTCTTGTGGGAGCTCCCTTGTAGGTAACTAATTGCTTTCCTCATGCTACTTTTAAGACTCTTTTTGTCTCTAACCTTTGGCATTTTAATTATAATGTGTTTTGGTGTGGGCCTCCTTGGATTCATCTCCTTTGGCACTCTGTGCTTTCTGGGCTTGTATGTCTATTTCTTTCACTAGGTTAGGGAAGTTTTTCATTATTATTTCTTTTTAATAGACTTTCAGTTCCTTTCTCCTTCTCTTGTCCTTCTGGTACACCTATGATGTGAGTGTCAGTATGCTTAATGTTGTCCCAGAGGCTCTTTAAACTATCCTCATGTTTTTGGATTTTTTTTTCTTTTTGCTGTTCTGATCGGGTATTTTCTGCTATCTACCTTCCAAATCACTGATTCACTCTTCTGCTTCATCTAATCTACTGTTGATTCCCTCTAATGTGTTCTTCATTTCAATTAGTGTATTCTTCATTCCTGACTGGTTCTCTTTTGTTTTCTATCTCCACTTTTATGTTTCCTATCTCTTTGTTGAAATTATCACTGAGCATTCTTATAACCAATGTTTTGAATTCTGCATGTGGCAGATTTCTTGTCTACATTTTGTTTAGTTTAGTTTGTTTGTTTGTTTCCTGGAGATTTGTTCTGCTCTTTTATTTGGGGTATGTTTTTCTCCCCATTTTGACTGTCTCCCTGTGTTTATTTCTATGTATTAGGTAGGGCTGCTCTGTCTCCTGGTCTTAGTAGAGTTCCTTTATGTAGTAGGTGTCATGTGGGGCCAATGGCATAGTCTCCTTGGGCATCTGAGCCAGGTACTTCAGGTGTGTCCCTTGTGTGGGTTGTATGTGCCCTCCTGTTGTATTTGAGCCTTGGTTGCTGCTGGCACATCAATGGGAGGGATTGACCCTCAGGCTGATTTGTTGTGAGGACTGGCTTTGAGTACAGTGGAGAAGGTATTGTGCAGCGGCTGACCCTGCAGAGCAGGCTTCACTTTAGCAGGGCTCTGGTGCCTGCCCAGTCGTCCCTTTTGGTATTATTTGTGGATATGGTTGGATGGTGCTCCGGTGTGGTCTGAAGCTGGCATCTGGGTGTGTTGCTTCTGGGACCCCTTGGGAGAGGCTCTGTTGCAGGCCAATTCAGCCACTGCCTGTACCCTGCCTGGGGCCACTTGGTATGAACTACCAAGTGATCTGCATGCAGATGGTTGCCATTTGTGCTGGGCTTGGAAGTGCCTGGGATGGGCTAAGCTGTGAACAGAGACCAGCTGACTCTAATGCTGGACTTGGGGCTGCTTAACGAGGCCAGGTACAGCTTGTTTGGGGTTTGTTATCCTTTGCGAGATTTTAGGGGAGTCTGAAGCATGAACAAAGACAGGCCATTTGTTCAGAAAAGCCACTGGAAGTGGCTTGGATGGGACTGCAAGTTGGATGAGGAAATGGGAATCACCAGGGCTGGGCAAATGGTGTTAGCCTGGTTGATGGAGTCAGAGATATGGCTCCTGCCTGTGTCTGCGCACGGGTTGGGGGAGGGTTCAACAAGGGAATAATGGCTTCTGCCAGCACTGTTGTCTGGGAGGAAGCTGTCCCTCCAGCCCTTGCCCTGAAACCAGACAGTTCAGTTCCTCCTCGTGTGTCTCTGGCAACTTTTGAAGGGTTACCCCAGCCCTGGAGCTCAGAGCACATGATTCTGTCAGCTAGTAAATCTGTGTGCAGGCCCTTTAAGAGGAGCAACTGGGAATGCAGCTACCCTCCCATTTCACTCAGCCACAATCCCTCCTGGTTTTCACAGCCAGAAGTTGTAAGGACTTCTCTTCCTGGCACTGAGACCCTCAGCTGGGGATCCTAGTTTGGGGTTGGGATCCCTCAATCCTCAGTGGGGACCTCTGCACTGACATTTCCCTCCTGATTTTTAATGGTCCCACACTGGTGTGGGACTAGCCTGCCCCTCTTACATGTCTCAAGTTAGCTTCTTATATCCTTAGTTGTAGGGCTTGGTTCAGCTAGGTTTCAGTCAATTCTTAATGATGGTTGTTCTGTAGTTGAGTTGTAATTGTAATGTGATCATGTGAGGAGGTAAGCACACCATTTATGCATTCCACTGTCTTGACTGCAATTCACTTCCTGTACCTTCTTAATCTCCCTTACCCTCCATATGTTTTCAGAGCTGTTATCATAGTCTAATAAACTCTACTGTTTACTTATTATCTTTCTTGAATATCACCTGCTTTCCTCCTTTAAAAGTAGGCTCTAAAAGGACAGAGAGTTTTGTTTTATACTGATGTATCCTAGAATAGTACCTACGATAAAGTCGGTGTTCAAAAAATATTTTGTCATTGTTGAAAAAATAAATAGTTAAGGACTAGTAGTAAAACGTGAATGTGAGTTTTTTGGTAAAAATTATCAAGGATCTACATGAATCACTGAAGTTTGGAAAATAGATCTAATTTCTGTCTCATTAGAATCATACTTATTAGCACTTCCTAAATGTATTTTTCTCAGGCCCCAGCTGTTGTGATTTCTATATTCCATCTTCTTGTTTCATTCTCATATGTGCTTATCTTTTTTTCAAATATTTTACTGCCTTCTCTTCTATAACATTTCCTAATACATTAATACAATGCAGATGACCAAATAATTTTTGCTTACCTGCTTTTTACAAGGTATTACGTAAGAGAAAGCTCTCTTCAGGTTTGTTTCATTTAGAATAACTGATGAACAATACACAGCTTAAGACACATAATGAATTCACAATATATACTTGTTAGTCCATCCCTAATAGGACCTCACTGCACTAACCCAAGCACCCTCCACACTCCTTATATTTCATATGCTTGATTTAACCAAGCTATTGCCTGAAATATAGAAAAGTATTGGTAGAATAATATAATTCTACTGTACTGATTTGGGAAGAATTTTAGGACATTATTTAGAACAATCTTCTCATTTCCTTCTCAGCTTAGAGATTTTAGGCACAAATTGTTACCTGACTTCCTCAAGTCACAGGTAGTTAGTAATAATTCTAAAAGTCTTTACTTCCAGTAAAATGTGTAATAGTTCATGACCATAATGTACCAAATGTGCTATAAAATGTTAAATTGAGTCCACATACTGTAAGAAAAAGATCATTCAATTTACAACCGGAGAGCACTTTTGTAGCTAATTCTGTCACCAACCAGCTATGTTACTTTAGAGCAATCTCTTCACCTACTTGGGCTTCAAGCTCCCTTTAAATAAAATGAAAGAACAAAATCAATTAGATAGCCTCTAAAGGACTCTTTTGTGCTGACATTACATGTCTATGATGCTTTATACTATGTCTTTGGAAAGAGGAAAAGGCTGGTCCTATACAGTCTTCTGTTTTCACAAAGGCACAGACCGATTAAACTTAATCGAAGTGACTCAGTGAGTGTAATATGGATAGGAAACTAGGTAATATATATATTTGTATATCCCTGTGATTGATTATTGCTTTGCAGACTTGAAGGAACTTCTGTGTGAGTGTATGGTTTTGCCTTCTTTTATAGTTAAACAGGAAGTACAAAGAGATGAACAAAATCAATCTGAGAAGCACAACAATTCTTTTAGTAATTGTTCAGACAGAGACCTCCCAAATAGAAAACACATACAATTGTATGAGAAAAATGTGCAGGGGTAGTACCTAGCTCATGGTAATTGTTTAATAACTAATTACTACTTTGTATTATTAATCCCTAACAAATCCCCAAAAAGATTTGTTTCCTCTCTGTGTTGTGACAGCAATGTACCTCTGTATGGCATTCTTCATATACCTATCAGTAGGTTTTTACTCTGTGAGACAATGAGATCCTTCACATTTAAACTTGTATCCTCAGCTCCTGCCAGTAGAAAACATGAGCATTTGACAAATGTCTAGCAAATGAGGAAATACATGAATAAATGAATGAATGTATAGTTATAGCGAAGTAATGGAAAACTTAAGGTACCCAAATTTTTTAAGCTTACATGGGCCAAGTCAACTAACAATGTCAAATTCAGTCATAAAATCATGAAAGCAGCATAACACATTAGCCTTTTCTTATGTCTTATATTTGGTCTGAAACAAAGACCTTTCTGTTGTGCTGCCTTATAATTTTCTTAAGAGTCACCCTTCTCAGAAACAGCACCTAGAGGTGCAAATGGGAACTTCACACAGCGTAGTTTCCATTTCCTGCTGTTGGATAACTGGTCGGACTGCTTAAGCTCCACTTGTTACAGCTCAGGGAAGGCCTATCCCACATGATCTGACTCACAGATCCTCTTTCGTTCACTGGGAGCTGTCTTAGAAGAGAGGAAAGAGCTCTCAAATGCTCTGTCAACTCGGGAACTCAATAGAACAATGGAATATCATCCTGACTTAGAAAATTTGGATGAAGATGGATATACTCAATTAGACTTCAGCTCCCGAAGTGTCCCCAGGAGACCTGTGATCTCAAAGAAAGGTATGTTTTCTTTATGCCCTCAACATTTTCATTCTCTTCAACTAAAACACTTAAGTGGAGAAAACTTGAGAGGGCTGTGATTTGTAGGGAATTTATTGCTACATTTTAAAAGTTTTTCAGAAGTCACGGAAGATCATTTGAATGTACACTAAGACTTTTTTCATGGCAACCATTCAGTGACTAATTAATAGTATTTAAATTAATTATGATGGTGATAAAAAATACAATGTCTGTTCTATAGAGATAGAAACTTCAGTAGCGAGGAGCTGGTGATACATATGATGAACTGCAAAGATGAAAGAATTTCAATAGGAGTGACTTATTGCTTGTTTGATAGAGAGGAGTAAATTGTAGAATAGCAGTCAAGGAAACTTAAAGGTTTCATATTAACAATGTCAGCATGCTGGAGATAAGAAAGAGGAGAATGAAAAATGGAAGATAGGTGACGGTAAAAACAAACCTGTGATTTTGGAGTAAAACCCAAAGGGAAGTCAGAAGTCATAGGATTTATAATCCTGAATGTGAGCTGTATATTGTGGTAAGAGCTTGATTTGGATTTTTTTAAAACAAAAGGGAATTCTTCATATACCAGTGAAGAAAAATATGTGCTTTAGATGGAAAGAATCTATTAGCAGGACATGAGTCTTAAACAAAATGTAAAAGTGAAATATGGGGAAGGATGTTATAAGATTTCTCTCTTCATAGAATGAGCCATTAAGTCTCCTTTATGATTCTCCTATTTGACAACCCTGAAATTCTCTTATGGCTCATTCTCAGTCAGAGGCAAAACTATGTTCTTGGTGTGGTGATGTTAATACAAAAGGAGAGATTATTCACAGGTTGTCTTTTTTTTGTTTTTGGGGTTTTTTTTAGCTGAGCCATCCTGCCACCTGTTGGCAGCTCAATGGCAGCTCAGCTCAGAGTGAATCTACACAGGTTTTGACATCAGAATTTGCTGTCTTCTGCTTTCTGGTAGTCCACATTGCACAATTATTTTCCTCTCACCACTTATGCAATACTTTTCTTGGGTAACTGTTTCAGTGGAAAAACTCGATAATGCAAGAGGTAGGGAGGCATGTATGCATTTATGCACATGTGTAGACAAACAGTGGGTTACCTATAATGTGCTAGTTGTCTCTAAACTCGGTGCTTTTACATGTGTTAGCTCATGTAATTCCCACAATAATCCTTTGAAGTACAGTAATACCTTGGTTTGCGAGCATAATTTGTTCCAGAAACAAACTACTCGTATTGCAAGACATCGCTCATTTACCACGTTAAAATGTATTAGAAATGTTTGCTCGCCTTGGGGAACACTCGCAAACCATATTACCCACAATCCAAAGTTTTACTGTATTATTACCCTAATTCTTCACAAAGAGAAATGGAAACACAGAAGTCATTTGCCCAAGATCATGCAACAAATAAGTAAAAAGGGAAGATTACTCTTCGTCATCAGTGTTATTTCCCCTGCATGAAGCTGTCTCTTCCAAGAATGAGTGGGATTTCAGGAGTCCTGGTAGTGTGAGATGTATAGCCATCAATGTGGAACTGAAATCAGGAGTGCATAGTTATCAAGGCACTGTGCTCAAATTACAGTTCTAGAACCTGATGAGGTATGCTAAAGGTGGGGGGCAATGCAGACTCATCCAAGATAACTAGATTATCCAGGTGTCAGTGATTAATGGTCACTTCAGTATTTGCCAGATTTTGATGAATTGTAGAATTTAAGTACTCCACAACCCATTATCTTATTTTCTCATTCATTTTCTGCTCTGTCTGGTCTTCAGGAACTTTTGGGGTATCTCATTGGCGTTGCATTGCTGTGACTTTGGGAATCCTGTGCTTAGTACTACTGGTGATAGCTGTGGTACTGGGTATCACAGGTGAGTATTGCTGGGGAAAATTAACAAGAAGAAATATTTAATAAGCATTTATAATACAGTAGACACTCTTTTGAAAGCTTGACATGCATAGCCTAATTTAATCTGCATATTAACTCTATTGAATTGGTGTTATTAATTCCCATTTTATTTATAAGGGAAGTGAGAGACTGGGAGTTTATTTTACTTTTCTAGGGTCATTATCTAGTTAGTGGTAGGACCATAATTAGGAATTTAAGGCATCTGTCTAAAAAATTCACACTCTTAACTACATTTCTCTACTACCTTCCTTGAATGGCTGGTTTAAAAGCTGTGGAATTCCCAGGATAAATTAATGGAAGAAAACTAGGAGAGGTGAAGAAGGAAGTACAGTTTGGTTCTATATTCCTAACAAAACAAATGTCCTAAAGAGACTATGAGGTATTTATGCATCTCATTATTTAAGAAAGCTATTTTAAGCCTGTCTTTAATCTAAATTCCTCTGGATAATACCAGGAATTACCTGAGGCACTTACTAAACACTAAGTAGATATTTTGTGATTGATGAATGAATGTCCTTAGATTTTATATCTCAAGCATTCTATTGTCAGTTAAGTTTTATTGTGCTTTCAGAGTCTTTATTAGATCTTAATTATTCAAATGTTTATTGGGTATAATCTATGTTATAGATACTGGACAGGTTCTCATGTAGCTCTCATTTTTAAAATCCAGAAGATAGACAATTTAATATTATTTCAAATCTATCATGGTTCCAATTGACTCCATTCCATTTGGCATTTGCTTGTTCTTTAATACTTTTTCTTCTTCTCTATCTGTTTCATTTTTCTTGTTTTTACTATATGTCCAATGTAGAAGTTATTTTTCTATTTTATCTATCTATCTATCTATCTATCGATCTATCTGTCTATATCAATTCATGTATCTATCATTTTTCTATCTTTACCTCTCCATCAGCAGTGTATTATCTATTTATTATTATTAAGAATGTATCTATATTACAACAAAAGTATGGGTTTTGAAATTTTAATTTTCAAACATAGTAGAATGATTTTTTTCTTTTGTCATTGTTGTTGTTGGTATATGAAGGTCTGTGGAGATCTAATTCGGGAAGCAACCCATTGAAGAATGACAATTTTCCACCAAGAAATAAAGGGAACCACAGTCAACCCACACAGTCATCTTTAGAACACAGTGTGGCTCCTAC